TTCATAAGCACCAATTCCCCAATTCTCCTGACAAGCTCCACTTTGCAGATGAGGAGACTGAGGCTGAGAAGTGCCTTACTGGGGTGGGGGCATGCTTTCATCCATCACACGTTGCTGTCCCTCAACACTGGCACCACTCCGTGCTGGGCCATGCCTGGTCATTCCTACATTGCCAGGAGCCAGCTGTGCCACTCAGAGAACAGTGAGTGCTCAGTCCAGGCCGCTGAGCATAAGTGAGCCTGAGGCGCTGCCCCAGACACAGTTCCCCCGGGAAGAGCAAGGTCCTTCTCTTCTCCCAGAGTAAGGGCTTAAGATCCTGCTCAGAAGATGGACGGAAACGGAAACAAGGATGGCACCTGTACTGTCAACCATCAACCTCCAAGCAAGGAACTCATCCTGATTCTCACTCCCATGGGATTTTTCTGGAACAGGACATTGGCCTTCTCATGAAGCTCTGTCAGTGTCACCAAGCAGACAGTGACAAGGCCACTTCAAGATCCTCCTAAAGGAAAGAAGGTTACCCTAAGAACAACAGTCTCTGAGTCTATCTCTAGGAAGCTTCCAGAACAGGTGAGCCTATGGAGGCACAAATCAGACTACAAAGAGCTAGGAGAGTATGGGAGAGCTGGGGACTGATATATGGGGGTCTCTCTTTGAGGTGTGTGATGGCTGGTTTAAATTGTCAACTTGAAACACCCTAGGATCATTTGGGAAGGGAGCCTAAGAAATTGTCTAGGTAAGGTTGATCTGTGGGCATGACTGTGAGGGATTTTCTTATAACTGAGGTGGGGAGACCCACCCTCAATGTGGGTGGCACATTTCATGGGCTGAGTCCTGGACTGAATGAAAAGGTAGACTGAGCTGGGCACTAGCACGTGCGCGTGTTAATCCACGACTCTCTGCTCTTGACTGTGTGACGGGACCAGTTCATTCAAGATCCTGCCATGGTGAGTCCCTGCAGCGATGCACTGTAACCTCATTTTGTGAGCATTTCTCCTTCCGTCGCCTTGTCAGGGTGTTTTATCAAGGTGACTGACTGTCAAGACAAGATGCTAGGAATGCTCCTTGGCTGTGGAGCTGTCTGCACATGTCCACCCGTGTGCTAAAAGCTACCTCAGTGCAAGGACTGAGAAGTATGTAAATGCCGCCTCAGCCAAGCAGTGACAGGAACAAGAGCCCAAGGAAGGCAGGAGTGTCTGCGGGTGGGGGGCCGGTGTCTGTCTCCCGCAAAGCGAGGCTGTGAGCCGAAGTGAGCCTCCACCCCAAGAAGCAAAGTGAAGATGAGCCTCCATCCTGAGGGGCAGATGCAGCCTAAGCAGTGTTCCCAAGCTTGCCTCACCCGCCCTGAAGTCAGTAGGTGTCATCCAGGATCCCACGGAACCGGCGCTGACAGCCCCCTTCTCTGAGGCTTCGGACTCCACCGCAGGAGCACACAAGGATTTGCAACCCCCTAGGTGCGACACTCAGGGTTCCTTGGAGTCCGGACTGCCTCAAGACTCTTCGGGGTTGTTTTGCTTGACTTCTGTTTTGTTTTGTTTTTGACAGGGTTCCCTAGTCCCAGCCCACCTGGGACTCACTATGTAGACCAGGCTGGCTCACAGATCTCTGTCTCACAGAGATCTGCCTGTCTCTGCCCTCCTGAGTGCTGGGATTAAAGGGGTGTGCCACCACGCCTGGCATCTCAAGACTTTGGGAAAATGAACCCTCTCTCCTCCAACCTAACTGCCGCTTCTCCTGCTTCTCCTCCTCCTCCTCCTCCTCTCCTCCTCTTCCCCTTCCTCCCCCCTCTCCTTCCCCTCTTCTGTTCTTGGCCACCTTTTCTGAGGACACCAAGCCCTTCACACACACACACACACACACACACACACACACACACACACACAC